CTATGACTCCTCTCCTTCACAGGGATATGATTATTTGTTTTTGATCTTCTGATACCTGATCCCAGCACCACCTCATGATCACACAGGCTAGTGTGCTTCTTCCATGTGGACTCTGTTGCTTCCCTGCTAGATGGTTGCTTGTTTAACTTCAAGCCTTTAGGACCCAGATACTATATCTTTTAATAGCCAGGCACCATCAGCCTTCTTCACCACATTTCCTTATGCACCCATTTTGTCTTCAGTGATCATGTCAGGAATGTGAGTATCACACAGTGCCACATTATTAGAATAAAGTGTTCTTGTGTTGAGGGAAGACTGAAGTAGAGGCCCAAAATCTGTCTGTTACTTTAGTGCTTTACTATACACACACACATGCATATATATATCCCAATACCCCTGCCTTTATATATCAATATATTTACATATTTTCATGTCTATATTTTTATCCCTATATATATAGCTTTTACATCCTAGTTCTTTCCTCTATTTCCCTTTACTTTCCTTCTGCCCCACCATCATGTTCACCGTTCATTCGGCTCTCAGTATTTCTTCTCAGCTACATTATAATTGATCAAATACCACCAGGCACTCTACACCCTCCTCACTGTCGATTTTAGATCCCTTGATGTCCCCCTGTCCCTAAATTTGTTGGTTCACAGCTCCCTCCGTACGGCCTCCTCCTCTCTCATGACCCCCTGAAACCTCAGTCCCCTGGTTTTCTCCTTGGGATTGTTTATCCTGGCTATCTTATATAGATAGACATATGATTAAAATAATAATAATAAAAGCCTATATGTAATTTCAGGTCTATCTGCTGACCTTTGTCCTTTGTGAATCTCCAACAAGGTCAGGTGATGTGCCAAGTACTTCCCCTCACCGATTCAGATGTCTATTTTCGGGATTCTTCAGGGACTTCATGATTTTGCTCCCATTGCTGATCTGTTATGGTCCCTTTGTGATTTGCCCCACTTGGGAGGAAGGGTGTCAGACTAGACACACATCCCACACTGTGTATCCAGTGTAATCCTCTGTAGTGCTGTGGGTCAGTGAGGGGAAACGGCATGTATTAAGCTGGGGCCGGCCCTATGGTCCTCTCTGTGTATTGGCTGTCCCAAGGAGGAGCATGACCCTTGAGGCTTGGGGGCCCAGGATGAAGGGTTCTCTCTCTCTCTCTCTGTCTTTCCCTCTTAGTTTGTTCTCCTGTGGGCAAGACAGACCTGCCACTCTCCCCAGTATCTTCAGTGCTGTCCTCCGTAGCACATTCTTCTAGCGGGGAAAGGAAGGTTAACAGAGCTCGGTTTGGAGCTGGCCCCTCAGTCCTCTCTGTTAATGAGCTGCTCCGTGCAGGCAGATTGCCCTCAAGGTTTAGTGCACCAGGATGAGGTCTGGCCTCTCCCTTTCCTGTGGAGACATAAGCAATACCCTCCCCGTGGGTGGATGAGTGCCCTGCTACAGCAATGTCATTGTCTTTTTCCCGCCCCCCTTTTTTAGTTAGGTGCCATATGCATCCCTGGGTTTGGTCTGACCCCTGCAAGGGTGCCTGGACCTTGATCCAGAAATTATACATTAGGTTACTTTTCCTCTATGTCAATTGTGCTGTTTGGATTTACCTCAGTGGACTCATGTTGTGCTTGTCCTTTTGTGCTTGGCTAACTTTGCTTAGCATAATTTCTTCCATCTCTTCCCATGAGACCATATGCTTCATGCGTTGTCATTGCTTTTTAGGGATACATACTACTACATTGTGTGTATATACCAGTTTTTTACTTCACTCATCAATTGATGGGAATTTAGATCGTTTCCAATTCTTTGTGATTGCAAACTGCACCACTATGAATATTGGAGGGCAGATGTCTGGCCGTGGTCTGGTTCTTACTTCTTCTGGGTATATGCCCAGTAGGGGGATTGCTGGGTCATATGGTAGCTCGATATCCATTTGCTTTAGGTATCGCCAAATTGCTTCCCATAGTGGGTATATGTACCTACAAGACCACCAGCAGTGGATGAGAGTTCCTATTTCACCACAGCCCTTATCTTCTTCAGCTGAAATCTGATTATATTGAGCTTCTCCACTGTTTCTTTTCGCAGATGTAGTCTATTCGATTCTTGTGTCTATCTGGTGAGGTCCACATATATAATCACCATTTATGTGGTTGACAATAGGTATTTCTAATAAAGAAGTTGTTGGTCTTGGAAAATACTACCATGTAATCTACAGCTTCATTTTTACCACCAAGGACATTTTTTTTTAACTAGTCATTCTTCCTCTTTGTTTTCAACTTTCAAATTCCAATCACCAGTAATTTCAATGCATCTTGATTGCATGCTTTGTTTAATTTCAAACTAAAGAAGTTGGTAGAATGCTTCAGTTTCTTCAACACTGCCTTTAGTGGTTAGTGCATCTATCTGAGTAGTATTACTAATTAATAGGACTATATGGATTAAGACAGCATTTTCACATCTTTCCAAGAGATAAGGATTCAAATGGCCAAATACAAAATGGTTAGCATTTAATAACTCCATAGATGTTTGTTGGATTAAAATATTGAACAACGATTTGATTTTTCTTAGTAAGAAAACAATTATATCCAGGGATATCAAGTCTCTACCGTCACACGAGTAAACGACAGAAGTAGGACAAAAATTAAGTTCCTACTGCAAGTGCCCTTTAGTCTTTCTAGCATGTCAGAGCTGTTCCCCAAGCGTTTCTTTCCTCTCCTTTTTGACTGTTGGAGACATGTGGTGCCTGAAGCCTTCTGCCCACCTCCAGAACCCTGTACCCACCACTGTTGCCAGTTGGTAAGAAACAAAGAGGTTTTGTTGACTCAGAGGAGCATTTTACTGGAAGAGCATGCAAAAGCAATGTGACGATTGTACTTACTCTACAATCCATGCAGGAATTAGAATGAATCTTCTACTGCCATGCAAGGTGATAGATGAGTATATAAAACCCTGACTCAATTCAACCAACTTTCCATGAAAAGAGGGTTATAAGTGATATACACCTATTTAGCTCCCACTTGTTGGTCAGTTTTCCATCATTGTTGTGATGTTGGAAGTTCTGTCACCAGTTGCTCTTCCCCCTGGAGAGGAGTCTATGGTTATGTGTGGGTTCCCCCTTTCTCCCTTCCTCTTCCACTCTTCCCACTACCCTTCTGTATCACTATTCCCACTCCAATTCCTGGATTCTGTGTGTCGTGAGCTCCCATCTCTTATCTATACCTCTGTACATGTTCCGGTCTAGTCTGAATTGAGAAGCAACACTGGGGTCATGGTAGTGCGGAGTGAGGAAGCCTCAAGGAACCAGAGGAATATAGTGTGTTTCATCGATGCTTTACTGCACCCTGGTTGACTCATCCCTTCCCTGTGGCCCTTCTGTGGGAGGATTGTTCCATTGTCTACAGATAGGCTTTGGATCTCTGCTCCACCCCACCTCATTCTCAAAAATATGTTTTTGATTGTTTGTTATGTGTCTGTTGATGCCTATTACCCGGTCCCTATGACTCCTCTTGATTGCACCGGCGGTGTGCTTCTTCCATGTGGACTTGTTGCTTCACCGCTGAATGGTAGCTTGTGTAGTTTGAAGCCTTTAAGACCCCAGACATTGTTTCCAGTTCCTATCTGTACCAGTGTACATCCTCTGGTCTAGCCAGATTTGTAAGGTAGAATTTAGATCATGATAGTGGGGGTTGGGGGAGAATCCCTTCAGGACCAGTGGTGAGAATGCAGATACTGGAAGGGTGGGGGGAGAGTGGGGTAGATCCTTGTAATTGGTTCCCCCTTTCTACCCTCCGCCCCCCCCCCCGGTTTCCATTATTTATTTATTTTTGCCAATCTTCTTTTGGGATATTCCCTTCCCTCCCCCCACATTACCACTTGTATGCTCAGTACCCAATGATTTTCGCTTGCTCCTCTCACCCTACAGAGCCATCAACATTTGTTTCTCTTACTGGGTCGAACCTTTTCCTGATTTTCCAAAGTAACAGGGGTCTCACACAGCATTGGTTCTCCATTACTCTTTGTTCACCTTTGGCACTCATTTGGACATTCCTTTGGGTCATAAAATGACAAAGAAAACCAACTAACCAAACCTCATCTTCTTACCGGCCACCCTTTCAGGAAACTCAGAACCCCATCCTGGCAGATAGGGAGGTCCTTCAGAATATTGCCCCCCAACAGGGATTTCCTTTACGTTTTAGGCGTTTATTCGGACTCTGAAATTTTCTAATTGTTCACTTTGGTGTCTGGGATCTGCTCAGTCAAGAAGGTATTTCAGGTGAACGTGGAGTACATTGGGAAACGCAAAGCGTCTGCCTTTGTGGGCTTTAAAAATAGTTTCTCACAGTCATGACCAGTTGGGGTGACTTTCCATTAGAGAACGCCAACTCATTCCGTCAATAGGTGCATTATGAAAAAGTGGCTACATTGCATCACTCTGTGCAGGACTTTCGACTGCGGTTTGCAACAGCCGAATAAATTTTCTTGGAGTTGTACCGTTATGTACACACACGCGCGCACACACACACACACACACACACACACGCCCATCGGCAGACACGGCCACACCTCACAGTTCTGGGAGAAGCCGCAGACCTCAGTCGTCCGGGCTGAACTTGGACCAGAGGAACTTTCCGCCGCGGAGGGCGCAGGACTAGCAGTCCCAGAGGCAGCCCC